CAAAATGTGTGAGAAGTCATTATCTTCTCTTTATGGAAAACACTGGGAGCAGGAGCTGTAATGGATGAGTTGCTCCTCAAACTCTGGGCCATTTTTGTAATGAAGAGCTGATAAATAGACCTGAGTACAAATAAGTGGAACAAAATGATCTTTGTGCTCCCTTCCAACCCAAACTATTGTGGGACTCTGTGACTTACTGGAGGCAGGACCTTATTTCTGAAAAGAGCCAGGTCCTTTTTCCCATTTTCCAGAATTGAGGCAGGAGGGAGTAGTTTTGGAATTTTTTCATTGCAGAATTTAGTTCACCTGAAGCAGGGCCAGGTGGAGGTGAAACCCACGTGGATGCTGGGAGACTCCCAGGTGAGCAGCTCTCCAGCCAGCCCTAGGAAGCTGCTCCACTTTGCCGGAGATAATTAAACGCTCCCTGGATCCAGCCAGTTAAAAAGAATGAGTTCTCTTCCCTAATCCCTCGGCTTGGGCACTCACCTGGGACATGATTAAGAAGGTGAGAGTCTAAATGCTCTTAGGAAGAAAAGGAATTGAAAAGGTGTCACTCAGACGTCTTTTTCTCCTGCTCTTTGCAGGGACGTTTTTTGCCAGGGTTGGAATCCCCACTGAATGAGCTCGCTAGAGTTAATCCTCCGGGAGCGGCAGTGTTTTCTAAGTGGGAAATGGATCCAGGATAAACAGACAATCTGCTCTTGGCACTCAGCCCTCCCTGCCTCGGTGTAATAAAGTCTTCCCATCTGCAGGGAGGTTCTTCGATGGTTAAAGCCCTTCCAGAGCTGAAGGAACCGAGCTGCAGCACTGGAAATCTGATAATGGCTCTGATAAAGAAAGGGTCTCTGTTTGCACAGTGAATGGCGCATGGAATTATATTTATAATTACATAAATTATTTAAAAAACGTGATCCAGACATTGAGGGTTCTAGAAATGTTCATACTCGTTCAAACTTTTGCTGTGGGATATTAAAGATCCAATAATTAAAAGCAGTGGGTGAACTGAGGACACTGTGACTCTCTGACAAGATAAAGGGACATTTCAGGAGGAATTCTGAAGGAGGCACTAAGGTGAAGAGCTGGATGTCACTGAGAGAATCACATCTCCCACTGATCATTTGAAATCCTTGCAGCTCCTCGGTGTCAGGCTGTTAAATTCATCATTAAAGACATGTGGGCTTTTGGAGAACAAGTGGGTTTATTGTTTCTCTGATTACTGCCTCTTCATTTTAAGAACTCTTATAAAAAAAAGTTTGATTAGAAATATTTCAATTATTTTTTTCGCCGTACAGGGGAGTAGTTAGCTGGGTTGATGCTGTGTTCTTTTGGCGTTGGATTTGCCAAGTGTGTGAGACACAAACAAAATGGGATTATTCTGTTTTCATAGTCAGACTCAAGCCTAATGCAAAAAGCCACCAATGTCAAGATTGTTATTAGGAATAGCCACAGCAGAAAGAAAATCCACTGTATTGTGGAAAGGCTTTGAGGAAAATGAGAGGTGAATCTGGTAGGGCCAGCAGCATTACTTCCTTTCTTTTCCCCTGAGGGTGAATATTGATTTTAAATCTATTCTAACAGTCTCTTAGCCACACATCTGAGGATATTTTTCATGAGGTCAGACTATAGTTCTCAGAGGAGCACCATTATTTCCTTATTGTGGGAAAAAAAGGAGGCTGATCCTTTGAACTTCTGGATTAGCAGGAGCAGGCAGTGTTGACAAGGTGTAATTGCTGCTTCAGTCAGGAGGAAAGGTAAAGCCTCTGTTGTTTTTAAGTTCTTTGGGAAACTTTGCTGTGATCTAAACCTGTTCATTTTAGACAGGTAATTTGCTCCTGAGTGATAAAAACCTTTCATAAGATTCATGTTGGCTTAAAAAAAATAAAAATACTGAAGTCAGAAGCCACTCTTTAATCTCATTTTAGTTGTACAATCACACACAGAATCACAGAATCACTGGGTTGGAAGAGACCTTCAAGATCATCGAGTCTGACCCAGCCCTGACACCTCACCTAGACCATGGCACTGAGTGCCACATCCAGTCTTTTATTAAACACATCCAGGGATGGTGACTCCACAACCTCCCCAGGCAGAACATTCCAGTACTTTATCACCCATTCCATAAAAAACTTTTTTCTAACTTCCAACCTATACTTCCCTTGGCGCAGCTCAGGGCTACGTCCTCTTGTTCTGTCAGCTGCTGCCTGGAGAAAGAGACTGACCCCACCTGACCACAGCCACCTTTCAGGGAGCTGTGGAGTGTGATAAGGACACCTCTGAGTCTCCTTTTCTCCAGGCTGAACACCCCCAGCTCCCTCAGCTGTTCCTCACAGGGTTTGTGTTCCCAGCCCCTCACCAGCCTCGTTGCCTCCTCTGGATGCGCTCAGGTGTCTCAACGTCCTTCCCAAACTGAGGGGCCAGAACTGGACACAGCACTCCAGGTGTGGCCTCACCAGTGCTGAGGTGCTCAGGTGAAGAGATGTGTCACCCCCGTTTGCCACACAAACTGCAGTGCCACGCCCTCAGAGATGTGCCACGCCCCTGTTTACCCATGAACTGCAGTGCCACACCCTCAGAGACATGCCACACCCCTGTTTGCCTGAGAACTGCTGCCCAAACTGCAGTGCCATGCCCTCAGAGACATGTCCCTCCCGTTTGCCATGCAAATTTTAGTGCCACACCTTCAGAGACGTGCCAGCCCGTTTGCCACACAAACTGCAGTGCCACGCCCTCAGAGACATGCCACACCCCTGTTTATGCATGAACTGCTGCTCAAACTGCACTGCCACACCTTCAGAGACGTGCCACGCCCGTTTAGCCATGAACTGCTGCCCAAACTGCAGTGCCACGCCCTAGAGACATGCCACACCCCTGTTTAGCCACGAACTGCTGCAAAAACTGCAGTGCCACGCCCTCAGAGATGTGCCACACCCCTGTTTACCCATGAACTGCTGCCCAAACTGCCGTGCCACGCCCTAGAGACGTGCCACGCCCATTTGCCTGCTCCTGGTCATCATGTTCCCTTGACCTTCTTTTAATCACCCCGCCACTTGCCAGAGGAAAGCCACATCCTGCACTTGCATGGCTAATGAGAGCAGTGTTGGCTTGGGAGAGCTGGACACACCACTGCTCGTGCTCTCTCCTTTTTTTCCTCAAGCTACAACAAAAGTCCCAGTCTGGGCTCCACCAAGTTCATTATTTTTGCTGATGGACCATGTTAAACCACGAAATCTGAAATGAATTCCATCCCTGGCCTAAGGAGGCCGTCAGTTCTTGCTGAAGACCATTTCACTTCATTTTTAAGGCAATTATCTCTAACTTGTATTTTTATTCTGCTGAATGGATGATCCTTCCCGCTTCCCACAATCTGAATTTGGCTGCAGGTAATGCGATGCCTACCTGGACTGTAAAAGGCAGAGAGGAATTGGGTCACAGCTGGGGACATCCTGCAGGACAGGGGGACCTGGCTTCACTCCAGCTCACAGGAAATCTGGATATTCTCTTTTCACTGAGCAGACTTTTGTTACATTGAAATAGGGATTTTTGATTTTTGATTTTATCAAATCTAGACTACAGGTATCCTAGATGTGTCCTCCTTCACTCCCCTGTATTCCAGACTAAATTTTAATTCCAGTCTTTCAAATCCCTTTTATCAGCTGGCCCAGCCCTCTGTGCCTCGTTTAGGTTTTGCTTCAGGTGCCCCATTAACTGATAAAATCCTGTCAGACTTTGCCCCATCATGGCTCTTTAATATTTCCCAGCATCCTTTTCATTCCTCTCAATTTTTAAAAATTCAAATTTCTCCTCATGTCTCTGCTGAACCCTCCTCAGTTACTCACAGAATCTGATTTTTCTTGTTTAGAGCAATCATTTTCTTGATTCAGGAGCCATCACTGGGCCAGATTCAGCCTGTGTGGAATTCCTTGATTCTGTTGAGATCAGTGAAATAAATCTGCAGTTTGTGCTGGTGTAAATTAAATAAAAACCTCCCTTGTTTGATTAACGAGCTTAATATGTCCATACCAAAAGGCAAATCCAGTTCATTTTTTAGATATTTGCTTCTTATGATTTAATTGAAGGATGGGATTTTTTCCCCATTCATGAATAGGTAATGACAACAAAAATGTCTAATTTTTAAATTACAAAATATAAAACATATATAAAACATAAAATGCACTTTTTGCAGTGGACTCTCACCTGAAAGTCAGAGTACTCATCACTATTAATTTAAATTTAAGTGAATTATGTGGCCAGATTCTTCAGAAGTTGGATCTCTCAATAATATTGTGAGTTATAAACACATCAGAAATGAAAAAAATTCTTTCCAAAGTGTAACTGAAAATTAGGAATAATTTTTTTTTAAGTGTTGTAATTCCTGCTAATCTTCCTTGTATTTCTGCTGTCATGAAATTTAAAGTTCAGCCAGGCTTTCTTTGACACTTTTGAGCCTATCAGATATTGTGAAACAGTTTGGAATTATTTGTGTGCTCTTGTGTAAAAACACCCTTGGCATTTGTTTTTATCATCATCAATGTTATTGATATTTTACAATAATGATAATTATTTAATAATCCATTATATTACCCACATCTCCATGGGAACAAAACCCAGTCAAGACAACTTAGACCTAAAAGCTTTCATATTTTAATGCTCTATTTAGAATATTTAAAATATTTTGCTAGTTTTCAGTCATATATTTGTTAGAAATATTAATTTTTTTCTCCTTTAAGTTAACAAACTGCTGTAATAACATCACTGTCTTCTCGTCTCTCTGCATAGTTTATTTCACTATGGCCCTGTCTGAACAAACAGATTTAGTAGAGTTGACATAAATATAAAATATTGTGCAAAAAAGCTCAGGTATAAATGGTGCTGAATCAAAGTGTTTTTCAGAAAACGTGAAACAAAACCAAAGGACTGTGCTTGGAATCGCAGAGACAAAACCCTGAGCGCGCCCTGGCTAATTGTCACTGCTAAAATCTGATTTTATTTTGAATTTGCAGGCAGAACTGGGCACACCGAGGCCGTCCGGGTGGTGTTTGAGCCACAAAACATCAGCTTTGAGCAACTGCTCAAGGTCTTCTGGGAGAATCATGACCCGACACAAGGTAGAGTGATGAGCGAGCCAGTATTTAATTATCTTACTAATTACAGCTGGGATAATTAGTGTTTGAGCTGCATGGAAGAGATGAACCTTGAAATCACACTGGAGCTCGGGAATATGATTGCAGACATTTATTGACAGAGAAAGAGAGGGTGAGGGAGAATGGGAGCACAGAAGCTCTGAGTGCCCCTCCTCCCTTACAGCTGCCTGGGCTGGGAAAATTCCCACAGAGTGGCACGGGAGACAATGGAAAAATCTCTTCAACTTTGATTATGACAATTTATTCTGTAATTTCTTTTGTCTCTTCAATTAGAGTATATTTCTTTGCATCTTCAAAATTTCTATAATCTTATTTTATTTTACTTTACCTTATTTTTGAAATTTTATTTTATTTTGCTTTTTTTTTATTTTGGTTTCTCAAATTTTATTATTTTATTCAATTCTATTTTATTTCTTTCTTTTCTTTTCTTTTCTTTTCTTTTCTTTTCTTTTCTTTTCTTTTCTTTTCTTTTCTTTTCTTTTCTTTTCTTTTCTTTTCTTTTCTTTTCTTTTCTTTTTTCCTCTTCTCTTCTCTTCTCTTCTCTTCTCTTCTCTTCTCTTCTCTTCTCTTCTCTTCTCTTTTTTATTTTAATTTTACTTTACTTTACTTTATTTTATTTTATTTTATTTTATTTTACTTTATTTTATTTTATTTCATTTCTAGCCAGGCCCTTTATCCTTCATCACAAGCTGGGATTTGGCGTTTTTCAAT